AACTTGTTCTCAGGCAGTCTAAGAAGAACGTGGTTCAAGTACTTGGAAATGAGGTACAAGGTATCTGCGCTACTATTCTCCCTGTAACAAACTACTAGCACCTGTGCCAAAGTGAATAAACAAACACTTTTATAATGTATTCAAAAGGTGCATTGTGCTCAATAAATGGCAATCTACCCTATATCTACCAATTCATAAAAAATGGCTGCAATATGAATATACAAACACGACTCCAAAATGTGTGTGTGTGTATATATATATATAAACACAGTTGATTGATAATACATGGCTTGAGCCAAACACTAACCATGAGTGACAGAAAGGTTTTCGTGTTATCATTCATATTCTCTGAAAAATGGCCAGGAAATCATAACTTCTGCCAGGGGGTGTGTGTGTGTGTGTGTTTGTGTTTGTATGTGTGTGTATATATATACATATATATATATATATATATACAAAACCACCTTACATATAAAACACAAACGCAAAGTACAAGAAAGAAAAGCTATAATAATACTGTGTAATATGTGACTGGCTTTCCAAGTGTTTAAAATAAAACCTGAAGCTCTTTTCCAGGGGTAATATGGATGTGGCTCAGATAAGGGAATACAAGTAAATAGATCCAATAATGTAAAACTGCAATAACATTTTATTGACATACAAGATTCAGAACAGTTGCATTAAAACATGCTCCATTGGACCATGTAATTATTCCAATACACACAAAACTGTTGTACTGCTTTATTTCAAAGTACTGTACCGCTGCTGTGCAATGGTGAGGTCAGCAGGTCACAGATCCATCATTCCTGGTTTGGTAGGATAGCTGCTTTTTAAAATGACAATTTTGCCTTGATTTCTGTACTTATTCTAAACTGTTCCCATTTGCCTGCAAAGCGCTTTCTTTGGCCATCTCAGGTCAGCACTACTTAGATATATTTGGTCTCTAAAACCACCTAGATTGCAAAAAGACATTCTCCTCTTCCATATAGATTCAGGTGACCTGGGCCTTCCTCATCTGGAATTGTATTGCTAACCTTCACTTCTAATCAACATACTTGATCAACATTTTAAAGGAATGCATACATTGTGGACATCTCTCGAAACTATATATCCCCCATCCTTTTGTTCTCACTACGCTGGCTATGACCGTCTACCTGCCCTCTTGTAGACTGCCTATCCTTTGCACTGCCTCCCCTCCTAATAATCTGGGATATTCTCCTGAAATCTGATTTTACTTTCATCTTATATTGGTCCTCTTACTCCCATAGTGGGTACCCCAGATTTTCCTCGAAGAGTGAAAGAGGACACATTTCCACATTTCTTATTTGGGATGCGAATCGTCCTTTCCTTATTTCGGCTTTAGAATCAGGGAGCCAGAGATCATTGTCATCCTTCACTTCTTCTTTGATCTTTCATGGGGGTTTTTGGTTGAAATATTTTCAACTAAGATGCTTTCATAAGTATTTGGATCGCCAATCACGACGACTGACTCCATTTGAGGCATTCTGTCAACAATCTGAAGGTTATGTTTTTTTTTTTATTGATGGGTTTCCACCCAACTAGACCATATTATATTGCGGAATGGGAACGGTATCTCAACTGATGTACTCTGGTCCTTATTCTTACAAACTTGTCCTCTACCCAAGAAAAGACGTATTGTAGCCCATATATATACAAAATGATTCGATCTGTACCTGACATTTGTTGGAGATATGGAGGGGAGAGAGCCAAAGCTGGCCATATTTGGAGGGCTTGTCCCTCCATAAAGAAGGCCTATTGGCAAAATGCTCTCCTTTCTGGGTTCTGTCTCTTGCTGGTTTTGTTGCAGCCCACGACACTGGAAATATGGCATACTATTGCAGAATGGGCAAACAAATTGTCTCATATTATGAGGATGGAGAATTTGACCACTCAGATCATGATAGAACCAAGAGCCATATTACTACCATAGAATTGGCAGAGTTTAAAGAGTTTTTAGCAACTGACCCTCAACTAATGTAACGCTAAGGGGTTTATCTGCACTAGCTTTATGATCGTCTGCTAGACACCTAGCTGTGAGACTGTGCATGGGTTTCATGCTTCTCTTCTCACTTTTCTGATTTCTTTTACCTTTTTCTTG